TGGACAGAGTGCGTGCTCCGAGCTGGCCCTCTCCCGGTCACCGTCCCCGGCCCTTGTGGGGGGCGCTGTGGTGCACAGCATTACATGACCAAGGTCACACAGGTGGAAGCTGAGGAGCTGGGGTTTGAACCCAGACAGACGATCCAGAGCTGACACAGGCCGAGCTCCGCTAGGAGCAGCCATTAGCCTTCTGTAACCCGTGGTTTCCTCATCCGAAGAACGGGGGTGATCACAGCCCCGATGGCAAAGGGGTTGGTATGAGGAGAGTGGCACAGTAGGTATTAGGGCCCTAGCACAAGGTGAATGTTCAGTACAAGATAGCTGTTAGGTGGCGGCAGCTGTCCTTCTGCCCCCGCCCCCGGCCTGGTGGCCGCTTTCAGAGATGCCAAGGCCACTGCTTAGCGTGGACGCCGGGGGCCATGGAAGTCGGGGCTGCTGGGGCACAGCTGCCAGGAAGAGAGGCTCATGGGTGTTTATCCTCCTTGCCAGGGGACTCACTGGCGCCCCCCAAGGTGGACTTTGACAGGCTGCTGGCCGGCCTGAAGGATCTCAGTGAGCTGGTGGTAGACGGTGACACCCAGGTGACACGAATGCCCGGTGGAGCGCGGCTCCGCGTCCTTGAGCCCATCCCACTGAAGCTCTATCGGAATGGCCTCGTGATGTTCGATGGGCCCTTCCGACCCTTCCATGACCCCTCCACACAGGTAGGAGTGGTGGGGAGGGGGGGACAGGCCGCTCTGGTGGCCTGGCCCGCCCTCACTCACCATTAGCTGGAGATGGGGGGCAGCTCAACCCACCCTCCAAGGTACCCAAGCCCACGTGCAACTTGCAGAGCGCACCCCCAACCCCGCCCACGTCCTGGGGCCCTGAAAATGCCCAGAGCGTGACCCCCTGGGTAAAGCCAGGGGCAGGGCCCGCCGGCCAGGCAGGAAGCGGGGCAGGAGGCACCGCACGGGTCCAGCCGGGCCTCACTCGTCCAATCCCTGCCACAGCGCTGCCTCCGAGACATTCTGGATGGCTTCTTCCCCTCAGAGCTCCAGCGGCTGTACCCCGATGGGGTCCCCTTTAAGGTGATGGGCTGCTCCTCAAACCACCCTGTGTGAGGAGCTCGGAGCGGGTGGGAAGGCATCCCCGGTCTGAGGTGGGAAGCCACTACCCCCCCTGCGGGAGCCCCAGGCTGGTGACGTCTGGGAGGAGGGTGAGCCTCAGCCAGGCTGCGGCGGGAGCAGGGAGGCTGCAGGGGCCACAGCCGCTCAGTTAGCCAGGGCGGCGGCTCGAGGCTCCGCAGCCGGCAGTGCCCCCTGCTGGCGCCCTAGAGGCACTGCCCTCCCCATCCAGGACACCTTGCCGGCCTGGGGTCCCCGAGGTTCTCTGCACAAGTGGCCTGGCTTGCCCCAGAGGCTCCTGAAGCCGTCTGATGGGTGTGGAAGGCAGTGCTATGGGGGGCACATGTTGGGACTAAAGGACAGGGCATGAGCCAGCCCCCTGCTGCCAGGGGTGGGTCGGGGTGAGATGAGGGCTGCGGTGGCGGGAGCTCGTGAGCAGCATCCCCGAGGTGGTGCGTCAGACCACAGCCGGGGTACGCGAGGGAGTGTGCGCCGCCACCACCTGGGCTTGGAAAACCGTGTGAGTCATGATCGGGGGTGTCTGAGGCAGTCCATGCCCTCGCCTAACACCCTGGTCCTCGCTCCCTGGCTGGCTCCTGAGAGGGGCTGTCTGGGGAGGATGTCAGGACAGCGGCTCCACCTGGCATGGCGAGGGGTGTTACAGGAGCCGGGCCCAGCTGGGGGACAGTAGCATGAACTGCAGCTCTCCGGCCCTCTTGGGGGCCTCAGTTTCTTTATCTGTAAAATGGGGATTACATCAGACTGTCCCTTGAGCCTATTCCTGGTGGGGGTGGGGGGGGCACGAGGAGGCCTCTGTTTGGGCCAGCAAGTGTGGGGTGGAGCCCAGGGCTGAAGGTCTAGGCCCACCGCTGTCGCCCTTCCTTCTTGCCAGGTGAGTGATTTGCGCAATCAGGTCTACCCAGAGAACGGGCTGGACCCGTTCCCAGGTGAGGGCCGCGTGGTGGGCCAACAGAGGATTCACAAGCCGCTGGACAGGATGGAGCGCCCAGGTGAGCTTGGCCCTGAGGCTGAGCCAGGTGGTGGGGGCACCGTGCAGGACAGGCTCCGGGTGGCCTCCTCCACCCATCACCCATCACTCACAGTCCCTCCCCAGGCCAAGGCTCCCAATGCACTCCTTGCAGGCTCCAGGATGACTGCTGAGAAGTTTCTGAACAGGCTTCCCAAATTTGTGATCCGGAAAGGCGAGGTGATTGATATCCGGGGACCCATCCGGGACACCTTGCAGGTGAGGCCAGCCCTAGCTCCCCCAGCCTTCTTGGGTTCCCTGGCCCAACCTACCAGAGCAGTAGCTTGTCTGGAGACTCAGGCTCAAGGGGCTGCTGAGGAGGGCCTGGATGGAGAGATGAGGCTCTCAGGGGAGTTCCGCCATCTCCTGAAAACAATCTGGGGAGGGCTCTGGGCTGGCACCCAGAGAGGGGCTGGGTTGGCAACCATGTGGCTGTAAGAGGGGGAAAGTCGAGGGCGCCTGGGTGGCTCAGTTGGTTGAGCGATTGCCTTCGGCTCAGGTCATGATCCTGGAGTCCCGGGATCGAGTCCCACATCGGGCTCCCTGCTCGGCGGGGAGTCTGCTTCTCCCTCTGACCCTCTCATGCTCTCTCTGTCTCATTCTCTCTCTCAAATAAATAAATAAAATCTTAAAAAAAAAAAAAAAAAGGGGGAAAGTCGGAGTCTAGGCCAGGGGTGAGCCCAAGGCCTGGGCCACCTCCTTGAGGTCCAGACCAGAATACCCAATTCAGTCCTGGATCCCCCTGCCTCGCCCTTAGAACACATCATCCTCCCTCCTCCCTCCCCATCCTGCTGCTCCTCCCCCATCTCCACCTGTGAAAGGTACCAAACCTCAGTCTCCTACCACTCTGCCTCCTTCACTCCACATTGCCAAGTCTGTCTGATCTGTCCATCTCTAGCACTCCTCCCGAATCAGTCTCTTCTCTCTGTTCCCACTGCCCACCATCCTAGACTTGGCCCCAGATGGCTGTCTCAGACACCTGCAGTAGCTTCTCGCTGGCCTGCCACCCCCACTCCTGCCTTGCCAACTGCCCTCCCCCAGCAGTCTCTGTGCTTCTGTAAAATATAAATTGAATCTGGGTCTTCCCTGTTGAAACCCTCCAGTGGTTCTTGGGTAAGGCCAAGCTCTTATCCTGGCGCTCAAGGCCCACCATCCCTTGTTGGTCCTCTTCCCATATCTAACCTTTTCTTTCTTCCAGTCCAACCTGATTCTCAGCTTCAGCCACGTGAACTGCCAACACTATTTCAAATGTACCATCTCCCAGAGAAGGTTCCCCTGACCAGGGGTTCTTTCCCTTGCCCCCATTCCATTTCTAGGGACTCCTCATCCTTAGTCACAGCTCAGGTGTCATTTCCCCTGGGAAGCCTTCCCTGACCCATGCTGGGTTAGGCCTCCAGCCCAGTCATTGTGTGGGGTTCTCTCTCCCCCACTACCCTAAGGGACCTTAAGGCTTCTTAGAGGAACGATGGGGCTGCCTCCCAAAGCTTCCCTTCCATTTCCTCCCCCTTTGGCTCACTGGTCTCATCCATCCTTGGTTAGGGAGAAGTCCCCTCTCAGGGTTGGGGGCAGGGTGTCTCTGGCAGGGCCCAGGGCTCTGTCTCCTTTCACTGATGCCTTCCAGAACTGCTGCCCATTGCCTGCCCGGATCCAGGAGATCGTGGTGGAGACACCAGCCTTGGCTGCTGAGAGGGAGAGGTGAGGGCATAGTGAAGAGGTGAGTCCCTTGGGGTTGGGCCGCCAGGGGGCACTGATGGCCTCTAGGCCCACAGGAGCCAAGAGTCACCCGAGTCAACGGCGCCCCTGCTCTCCATGCTACGCATCAAGTCTGAGAACGGTGAGCAGGCTTTCCTGCTGATGATGCGGCCTGAGGACACTGTTGGTGATGTTCGCACCCTGCTCGCACAGGCCAGGTGGGCACGGGGTGGGGCTGGCAGCTACAGGGGGTCTCTGGCCCCAGGACCCCGCCTGATCCGTTCTGCCCGGTCCTCAGGGCTGTGGACGCCACCACCTTCGAGATCATCAGTACATTTCCACCCACGGTCTACCACGACGACACGGTCACACTGCAGGCCGCGGGCCTGGTGCCCAATGCAGCGCTGCTGCTTCGGGCGAGTCGGGCCCCACCGCCTGCTCCAGGACCTGGCCCCTACTCCAAATAAAGCGCCCGCTCCCACACAGGCTGCTCCGCGAGGCTCTCTTGGCGGGGCAGCCCAGCTGGACGCCAGGGAAGGCCGGGGGCCCAGCTGGGCCAGGGAGGGGGCGGTGCGGACCCGCCCCCTCTGTAACTCGAGCCCCAGCTGGCGGCCCTGGCTGCTGGGTCTTTGTCCTTTAGGTTCCTCTTTCTCCCCACAAGGGCTGAACAGATCCAGTGGAGGGAAGGCGGGCTCCAGCCCAGCCTCAGCTGGTGTGGAAGAACCTCCTGTGCAAGTGTGCCCCTGATAGGCACAGAACCACAGCACATGGGGACACTTCCTCAACTTTCTGCACAAAGCCACTGTCCCCAAACTGGCAGAACTGCAGCTGTGAACCCACTGCCATGACACACACTTTGAGCCAGTCTGCTGAAACACGGGCAGGCGGCCACATGGCCTGGACACATCACTGACTGGCATACAGATGTGCCAGACTCACCAAGCCGGGCGTGTCAGGACACTATCACATGCGTGTGCATCAGGAGGTGACCCACCCACACTGTTTCCAAAAACGCAGGTCCGCACAGTAATGCACGTGCCAGACATACACCCACAGACGTACACAATCACACACACAGTTGCCACGCCGAAGACCGCTCAACCGACCTGCCCACAGGAGCAGAGCCTCAGCACAAGCAAGGGCCCAGGCCCAGGTCATATCAAACAGACACGGCATCAATGGAATGGGACATTTAATTGTCTCTAGGGTGCTCCCAGGACGGGGAATGCGGGGCCTTTGGCAGAGCCCTGGCTAATGGAACCAACAAAGGCACCCATCAGCCAGTGCCAGGCAGGGTGGCAGCCTCAGGGCCTGGCTGAGGACAGCCCGCACCTGGGCTGTTGCTTAAGACAATTTCTGAAACTAGTGGGTAAGGAATGTTGCCTTTGAACAGAGGAGAGGGGAGAAGGGGCTTGGGTTGCGGGGGGAGCGATTCCAAGGTCAGAAGGTTAGGAATAACAGGGAGTTGGTCCTAAGGTCCTTCCTGGCCGGGCGGTGGCTGGGGGGAACGTGGTGGCGGAGTCCAGTGGGCTCAAGCCAGCTTCAGGAACTCCTGCAGCGTGTTTTGTTCCACAGCCTCCACGAAGAGCTCATAGTCCTAGGGGAGGGGGGGAGGGGAGAGATGGTCACCTGAGTGCTGGTGTTTTGTCTCAGGTCTGACTCTGACTTCTGACTCAGGAGAAGTCCTCCTACACTTCCCCACTCCCAACCCCCGGGGCCCATACCCCACAGTACTGGTCCCCGTTGACAATCTGGGGTGGGGTGGCCTTGGGGTTGCCCGCCAAGGTTCGCATCTCATCCCGCAGGGCGTTGTCCTGGGAGATGTCCACTAGCTGGTACTGGATGCGCTTCCCATCCAGGATGCGGGTCACCTCGCTCTGCTGGGACTTGATCTGGGGGTAGAGGGCGGGCAGGGGTTAGTGAGCAGGCTGGAGGATTCATGGGGGAACCCTGGGCAGAAAGAAAGGGGCTGTGGCCAGTGGTTTTTGTCCCCCTCCACACCCTGGGCCAGCGTTCTGGCCACTAGGGAGTTAGGAGAATGAGTCAGGCTTGCGGTGGTGCAGGATGAGAGGGACCACCATGCGGAGGGGAGTCAGAACGAAGAAGGGAAGTGGGATAAAGTTTGGGGGTGGGGGGAGAACCAGGAGCTCAGCGAGGGGAAGGCAGGGCAGGCTTGAGTGGAAGCTGGTAAGGGGCCACCCCCGCCCAGGTACACACAAAGTGGAGGGGAGGAAGGGCACGATCAGGACCGGCTCGGAATGGTAGTGGGGTTGCAGAGAGTGCGTGTCTGAGCGACGGGATGGGCGTGGGCAGCTTGTGCTGGGGCTGCGAAGGATCCAGGATGCCCAAAGGAGGGGTTTGAGCCTCGGAGCCCACCTTGGGATCCGACCCGGGAGGCCGAGCCCCGCATCTCGTCGCCCTTCCCCCCCCTGCCCCGTCCCGCCCCCGCCCTTGGGGTGGTGGGGGTGGGTCTCGGGCGCCGGGCCGTAGCGCCCAGACACCGCCGCCCGCGCTCTCCCCCGACCCCAGCGCGGCCCGGGCGTGCACTCACTTCACGGGAGCCGGTGACCGACGTGCTGTAGACGCGCAGGCCGCTCATGCTGTGGCTGGACTGGCGAGCCGACAGGCGGACGGACGGCTGTAGCGGCAGCTGCACGGCCTGGAGACGCCGCCGCCGCGCTCGGGAGCGGTTTCCTTCCTGCTCAGCCCGCGAGTCACCGCTCTCGGGACCAATGGGCGGCGCGGGCAGGCGAGCGGCCGGGGCGGAGCCTGCGCGACCCCGCCCTGCGCACCGCTGGCCCCCGCCCCTCCCCCCTCAGAGGCCGGGCGCGCGGAAGACCCCAGCGCCGCGCGAGGCCGCCCCCTTCGGCCCCTCCCAGATCTGGGGCTCAGTATGAGGCTGGGGAGGGGCCTGGGTGGCCGCAAAGGCCAGGGAGAGCAGGGGTGACGGTGTGGAAAGGCCGCCTCCTTAGCCTCCCCCCGGGGTTTGCTGCACCCAGCTACCCACCCCTGGTGCCACGATTCAGAGCTTTGAAGGCTTGGGCTGTTTGAAACCTACAGTTCGTTGGCTAGGGAACCTCACTCCAAGGGACCCCTTCTAGAGCCCCCCAGGTGACCCTCACACCTGGCTAACCCCTTGGCACACCAAAGCAGGGCAGCCCCTGCGGGATTTCCCCAAAAGTTCCTCTCCACTCAGGCAGGTTGAGACAAGGAAGGGTGGTGGCCAGAGACAGGGCCACACCCTCAAGGCACCAGATGGAGACCAAGGTAAGAGGCTGCTAGCTCTAGAAGGGTGGAGGCAGAGCCTGGCCCACCCTTGTTAAAGATCCACAGATGGTCTTAGGGTGGCCCTAGCTCAACCTCAATCCCAGATGGCATTCTAAAGCTGCTCCTGCTCCCAGAAAAAATCTAGGGGGTTCAGAGGGAGTGGACTCTAACAACCAGCCCAAATTTGGAGGCGTGGCTGTCTGTCTGGGGTTGGACATGACTCCCCTCACAAGTCCTCCCCAGGTCCAGGGTCCAGTAGCAGCCCAGGAAGAGAACCCCAGCTCCCTAAGGCAAACAGTGCCCTGCTTGGCTCCTGAGAAGCCACTTCCTCACAGCAACCTAGCGGCAGCTACTTCCTCTCAGAGGATTACTGAAACTCTTTCCAATGAGACTTGCTCAATGACTCAGGGCCGCTTCACCCAACAGAAAGTGGTGTGGGAAGAGGTATTTATCCCCACAGAGAACAGAGGAGCGGAAGTGGTAGAAATACAGACGTGAGGCTGGACCTGCCAAAGGTCCCTCCTTGCTGCCATCTGGGGAACTTGGCTAAACACCCAGGCTTTGGCTCCAACAAGCCAAAATGAGGGGTGGAGTAAGGGATGGTGATGATGGTGATGGAAAACTGAGGAGTTTGTTAACTATTTTATTTTGTAATCAAAATAGGCAATACAAACCAGTTGACATAACAAGGATTCATATAAATAACTGCTTATAAACTTTGAGGAAAAATACCCATGAGCATGGTGGCTGGGCTCCCAACACAGGGTGGAGACCAACCAGGCAGCTCTGCTTTTAGGAGGCAGGAAGGAGCCCAGAGGCTGAGGGGATGGCTGGGTGGGGCTGTTCTGAATGGAAGGGATACATCACTCAAAAAGACACAAAATTGTAAAAACACTTAGTCTCATTCAGACCCAAGAGTGAGGTTCAGGATACTTCTCTGACGGCTCAAAACTTACCAACAAACTCATAGTAGCTGGCTCCTGAACTGCTCAGTGCTCCTGCATACCCTTACAAGGCCCTGGCTTGGCCTCCCTCCAGATCTAGCGGAGGCCTGGGGCCAGCCCAACAACCAGATACAAACAATTGTGTTTGAGATGCTCCCTAAATGAGGAGGCAAGAGAAACCAGAAAGCATAGGGTCCAAAGGCCCCAAACAAAACCCAGCAAATAAGGAAAGCTATACCTTAGAGCCAAACTATACTGGGTACTCTGAACTCTCAAGAAGCCCCAGAACAAGAAAGGGAAAGGACCCTGCCCCCAAACAAAAGAGAGGCACAAGTCAGGGCTGGATGCCATCCCTTAGCCCCAGGAGGAGGTGGTGAGCAGCCTGGCAGTTGCCCTGTGGTATTCTTGGGGAAAATCCTGCCCAAATCCAGAACCATAAAGAAAAGTTTACAAGGGGGCTACCTGACTGGCCTGAGAAGAAAAGAGAAGGGAGCTGTGCTAATCATGTGGCCAGGGCCCCGAGGGACAGGGCAACTGGAGAGTGGGCCATCCTGTAAAATGGCATGACAGCACAGATGGGGCAGGCTTGGATATAATCCTTAGGCCAATCCTAGTGGGTACTTTGCTTATAAACAGATCACCCTGAGGCGTCTGTGAGAACAAGAGCCCTGAGGAAGCAGCAGTGGGACCAGGCCTAAGAATACCCAAGAAAGCCAGCTCAGATCCCAGGCAGGCTGGCCTCTTGGCCTGAGAATTCTCACATGGCCATCGTGTCTGGTACTCAGCCTTTCCAGGCCTTCTACTGAACTCTGGGCATCAGCAGGACCAAGGTATGGAGTGGGAATGAATGTGGATCCAACCAAGAGGATGGAAAAGGGAATTGAGCAGCCTGTTTACCTCTGACATCAGCCTGGGGCTGGAAAGGTCTGTGAGGACTTATCAGTCAACCTGCAGAAGTTAATTAGTAACTCACCCTCAAAGGGTAAATCAGGATGACAGGACAAATGCAATCCAACAAGGCAAAGCCAATGTGGGACAGGGCAGGCACAGTTCCTTAATCAGCCCTTGGCCCCAGATGCAGGTTCTTAACCCCTTCCACCCCTTCTCTCTGGGAATAGCAGCAGACAGGAGGCAAGAGATTGTCAGGGCAGGACCTGCCAGACTGGGCGTTCAGCAGAGCAGATCTTCCCTGGGGGAGCAGAGCGTGTGCCACCCCCAGCATTCCTCACTGTGTGACACAGTTTTCTCCCATATCCTGGGCATATCTGTCTGACATGGTGGTCCTTAAGTCCTCGATGTCACGGCGCAGCTGTTGAACCTCTTCTAGTTTCCTCTTGATCACATCCGGCTTCTGCAAATCCAGCTGAGTCCCCGGGTGCTGTGCAGCTGAGTAGGAGAGCATTTTGAGAAAATGTTAGTGAGTCACTTAGGAGATGCTTTCATGTGGAGGGGGCAGGATGGATAAGTAGGCTCTTTAAGGCCCATGATCTGGGGACATAGCACGTTGCTTTGTTTGTTTTAAGTAGGCTACATGCCCAGCACGGAGCCCAATGCAGAGCTTGAATGCACGACCCTGACTGAGATCAAGACCTGAGCTGAAAACTTGCTGCCTTAGGACCATTTTCTGTTCGTCCTGCATTCAGGTACCCATAAGGATGCCTGTTTCCAAAGCAGATTTACTGTCTACTTTGCTAAACACATAAACTCCCAGGGGGCAGTGACCAGGCCTACAAAGCCTTGTTCACACAAGTAAGGATGGGAAAGCTGGGTGGGGTGACAAGAGAACGAGAACCACCCTCTCCTGGGTCCCAGACTGGCCTGAGAACTCACAGTGAATGCCCAGGAGCAGGGAGAGATTGGGGTCATGGCCCTGGGCCCTCTGGGTCACAATACTACAGACAGCCTGCAGATCTTGAAGGCAACTGGCCAACTCCTGGTGCAGCTCAAATGCCAGCTGGGCTGTGTCTGGTGAAGATGGGGACCCTGGTTGGGCCTGGCGCAGGTGTTCCTGGAGTGTCAGATTCTTCTCAATCAGGTCCTGGTTCTGCACTGAAAGCTGAGCAGACAGATGGGCAAACACATTAACCCAGGCCCAGGGAAGGGCAGAATATCTGTACCTGTGTGTGGTTATATATGAATCATAGGTGATATCA